CACCGCCCTTAATAATTAAGAATTAAAGATCAGTAGTATTATTCTGAAAAATTTGTGTTTACCCATTGTGACTTTATAGTTACAATAGGGTTTGTTATTCCAAGAAGGGACAAATTATAAGCAACACATTGTTTATATGTATTTATATGTAATATGTTACTTCCAAGCTCACAAGCCACCAACTCACAGCTATGCATCCTAGAGAAGAAAGATCATGGCGTTTTGGTGTCAGACCACAAATGTTGCATTCAGGTTTCTAGGTTCAATCCCCAGCATCTTTATGTTGGGCTAGTAAACATTTTTTTTTTACTAAAACCAGGACAGTTAGTATAGATAATACATCTGGAGCAATGATACAAATCAGAAAGCATCCAATGCTCTTCACAGAGGTCACTAGAGAAAGGAGGACTGAAGAGATGATAAATGAAAATAAACAAGGAGCTCTGAATGCTGGGAAGTTTTTGTGGAAGCACAAACTGTCCCTTGATGATCCAATTACAGTCAATTGCTAATTTGGGTGATGTAGAACACTAGTATTTATTTCATTCACATCCAGCATATATAAATGGTAAATAGCTTATTAAATCATTAACAAGGTTGACTTTCTCGCTGCGCCTCTCTGTGTTCTCATTTATTAGACATGCAAATAGTTTTGATATGTAATTAACCTGGACAAGAACCTTCTGTTCTTAAGAGATGAGAAAATGTTATAATCATAAGAAATTAACTTTTCCCTATAGGAATATTATTATTGCATAGCTATAAATGATACTGGATTGTGGTTAAACGATGAGACGACGCAAATGGCTTTTTGTATTTTGATATTGTTGTGTTTTGTTGATGATGTTTTTGATTATTGCTAGATTGATATTTTAGATTGTGTTGAATTTTGAACCTTGTCCTTCTATGTTGTTCACCGCTGTGAGTCGCCCTCGGGCTGAGAACAGCGGTATATAAGCAAAGTAAATAAATATAAAAATGGCTATAAACTAAATGGATGATTCCCTCTAGTAATATTATTGCTTCTTCCTCCCAGCAGAAAAGTTATATTTCATAAAGTACACACAGAGATTTTTAGAAGTTATTTGGCCACCATGATGTGCAATCAGAATCAATGCTGTCATAATTCAAGTGTGGATTCTTTCTGCGCTCATTCCCAAATAGAAAAATAGACCCAAATGACATGAATTCAATTCTCGAAAGAGATTTAACATTATACCTTTTATTTTTTTTCTTCCATTTTGCCGTGTGTATAAAAATGAAGTTAAAATGAATCAAGCACCTATGACATCGGAGTACATTATTACACTTTTACCATTAATATCTATATAAATAAAATGTAAATGTCCATTTGTGAATGACCTCAAATCTCCCAAAATACTTCACTGATTGCTTTGAAATTTGGACACAATGTAGCATTTCAACAGGTGAATGTTTTTATGTATTCACACACCTACTTTTATATAGATGTCACACTTGTGACAGGTATAAACATGCTTGGCATTAAAAACAGCACCATCTACTGGATGTCCAAGCAACACATCATGAAATGGCCCCGTCAGTGCCGGAGCCACCATTAGGGATCTGCAGACTGGTCGCCGCCCCCCCTCCACTAAGCCTGCCTGCCTGCCTCCCTCCAGAGCAGAACTGGGAAAAGAAGATCAGGAAAAGGACAGCGGGACACGTAGGGAAATCTAGGCCAGGGAGAGGGGTGCGGCACGGGTTCAGGGGAGGGAGGGAAGGAGGCAGGCAAGGAGGTAGGCCCACCCCAAGCCCTGTATCCTCATGCCCTGCCTAGCCTTGCCCGACGATGCCTCTCACCCACACCTCCAGGAAGGCTGAAGGCTCGGAAGGAAGGAAGGATTGAATGGTAGGCTTGGCTCTCCTTAAAGCCATCCGTGCTTGGCTCTTGGCTCTCCTCCTTGTGGCCTCCATCCCCTGTTCCCTCCACCCTGTCCCTGCCTCTGCGTCCAGCAGAGTCACCATTTGTGATCTGCAGTCTGGACCCCCCCCCCCCCACCTAGCCTGCCTGCCTGCCTCCCTCTGGAAAAGAACCAGGAAAGGAAGAGTGGCAAAAGCACAGTGAGGCAGGTAGGGAGAGGGGCGGTGCGTGGAGTGAAGGAAGCAGGCAAAAAGGTAGGCCCAGCACAAGCTCCGAGCTCCTGTAGCCTCATGCCCTGACCGGCCTTGCCTGGCACCACCTTAGGCCCACACCTCTAGGAAGACTGGAGGCTCAGAAGGAAGGAAGGATTGAATGGTAGGAAGGGAGAGATAGAAAGGAGCGAAGGAAAGGAAAGGGTTCCCCCAAAACACACTGATCATTATTATATAAACCAGTATCATTATTACTATTATCATTATTATATATGCCAGCCTTATTATTATATAGATTATATAGGCCAGTATTATTATTATCTACACCTTTCTTATTATTATTTCACAGACAACGGAACAAGAAAAAATATTGTATAACCACAAGCATTATGAAATTACATATATTAGAAACCAGCTCTTTCTCTTTTCTTTCATTTCCATTTAACCAGACTGGACTGCAGCAACGCATGGCTGGGTACAGCTAGTAGTTATATAAGAATGCTCAGATTATTCACAAAGGGTTCCTTCAAATGGGACAAATATCTAGATATTTGTCCCATTTGTCCCGGTCTGAGTCCCTCTACAGAGGTAGAGAAGATCAAGATATAAACGTTTTAAATAAATAAATAAATAAGTTTTTTTGCAACATCCATATGTCTCCCCCACTTTCTCAGCAATTCCTGAAACCAGCTGCAACAGTTGTAATACTGGAAATGGGTTTTTTCTTAAATCTGAAATATATTGACACAAAAATGTATCTTTTTCTTTTCCTTACCCTTTCCTTTTAGAGTTGTAGCAGCAGATGACATTGTGGCTTTGTTTTATTGTTTTAATTAGTGCTATATATATTGTTTTTAATGATTGTTTGATTATGTTATATTATTATAATTGTGATGTGTCCTGAGTCCCCCTTCGGAGGAAGAGAAGAGACGGGTACAAATGCCAGAAATAAATAAATAAATAAATAAATAAATAAATAGTGCATTGTGTCTCAGGGAAATTTATTTATTTATTTATTTATTTATACACTTGTATACCGCTAATATCTCAGCCTAAATCGGCGACTCATTGCGGTTTACAACAATTAAAAACAATCATCAATTCAAAACATACAATCAACAAATACAATACAAAATTATTGGGCCACCAATAATAATTCCATGCATCTCGAACTAAAAACACAATCCAAAAATTCGTCGTCCATGGTTACCTGTCCTTTGGTCAACACACTTCGGTTGCAACGGGTTAACCGAAAGCTTGTCTAAACAACCATGTTTTCAATCTCTTCCGAAAGACCATCAGCGAAGAGGCTGATCGTACCTCTATAGGGAGGGTGTTCCAAAGCCGAGGGGCCACCACAGAGAAGGCCCTGTCTCTCGTTCCCGCCAGCCGCACTTCTGAGGCCGGAGGGACAGAGAGCAGGGACTCTCCAGAAGATCTTAGGGTCCTGGTGGGCTGATAGGCTGAGATACGTTCGGATAGATAAGTTGGGCCAGAACCGTTTAGGGCTTTAAAGGCCAACGCCAGCACTTTGAATTGAGCCCGGTAGCATATCGGCAGCCAGTGGAGCTGGTGCAACAGAGGAGTTGTGTGCTCCCTGCGCCCCGCTCCTGTTAGTATCATGGCTGCCGCCCACTATATGGCACTTTCCCACTATAACTCATTAATTCTAAGGAAACAGATTCTTTTTTTAAAAAAGATAAGAAAAGAATAATATTTTAAATCACTGGCTCACACAGCATATGTTTTGTTTTTTAAAAAAATAACTTTGGAAGACACCTAATGCAAGGAATTGCTAAGAAGAGTCCCCAAAAGAATGGATTCAATAGGCACATATGAGGCAACAGGTGAATCCTGGCACAACTAACAGAACTATACCGCAAGAAGTCATCCTTCTTTAGAACAGTCAGGGAAAGCTCAAACCTAACCTCAGACAAACAGTCTTGTACCAAATGCTGTTTATTATTATCCTCAATTTGGAGAGTGGGATGTGGGGCTGAGTGACACTGAGTAATGTATTGTTGAAGGCTTTCGTGGCCAGAATCACTGAGGTTGTTGTAGGTTTTTTGGGCTGTATGGCCATATACTAGAAGCATTCTCTCCTGACATTTCAACTGCATCTGTGGCAAGTATCCTCAGAGAACCTCACAGCTACGCAAGCGAAATGTCAGGAGCAAATACTTCTAGAACATGGCCATACAGCTTGAAAAACCTACAACCTACACTAAATTTTTCATGTAACAAAGAACCACAATCATGGGTTCAATAAAGGAGGAGGAACATCCCCAAGAGGAACATAAATCAATTGCTGAACAAAACAACTTCAAAACTTGCACTGCTTTATATGTGTATGGGTTAGAGTTCAGTTTCAGCAAGAGTTTCTGTTTTGTACATAATGCCAAACTGAGAGAGTCCATTAAATCAAACTGGAACTTTAGTTTATTCTTCCTGCAGATTACATCTCAGCTAGATGAGGCAACTCATGTGTCAGATGTTTTGCATAAACTCATTTTCACTCACTGATGCAACCTTAAATTATAGTTTACAGTTACATGCAAATGTGGCCAGTGGGTAATGAGGCCATCAAATTGAGTTCATTGAAAAGGTGAAATATAAACTAAAGGCCTGTAAATTTATATTTTTTATAATTTCTTTTCAATTTTATTATTTTATTATTTTTAAACCTTACACTAGAAGCCCAAAATGTATTTAAAGAATTATTATGTTACTATAGTTTTAAAATAATATATTTTCTAGAAAGCATGCAATATACATAATCAGGTGTAGAAAGCCATGTGACAATTCAAAACATTCACTATGCCCAGAAAATGGCATGAAAATTCCCTTATTGAATGTTGTTGCTGTGGCATATTTGAAAAATCATAACAAAGTAAGAAAATACTCACAAAAATCTTCTTGGTGGAGATTACGCATACGGATTATTCTTACAGTCAGCAAATAGCATGGTGATTCAATACCCTGCCAAAAAAGAAAATAAGATCAACATTTCAAGTACAATGTGCAGGATAACCACAAGTAAAGCATTCCTTTTTCTTTCTTTTTTACCACACTCCTGTTGAGGGCCAAGTAATGAATAGATAAATTTGTTCAACTGTTCCAGGCTAGATCTCAGTGCTCAAATAAAATGGTGAAGCTTGATTTTTCTTTTCCCTCACTTCTTGAATCTTTCCTTGTTTCTATTGTGGTCAATGTTTTGTGTTACTATACTGAATAGGTGAAAAATTCATTTTATCAGGCCGTTTTTCTTGTTAAACTTGCAAGGCTAAAGGTAGATCCACATACAGAAATTCTTGCATTATTGTCTGTTGCTGTATTTAGTTTCTATGCCACTACATCTATGGTAGCTTCACCATAAAGGGCTCCTTATTTTAGGAAATGCTTTTACAGAGCTAGGCTTTAACATTGGTGAATGCCTGCTCTAAATCTGGAATGCACAACAGCATATAAGAGTTCCCTCACTTCCATGTGTGATGTTGTGCTAGCACTTGCCACTAGTGCATTTTTAATTTCATTCTGTCTGTTCTCATAGAATCATAGAATCAAAGAGTTGGAAGAGACCTCACGGGCCCTCCAGTCCAACCCCCTGCCAAGGAGTAGGAATATTGTATTCAAATTACACCTGACAGATGGCCATCCAGCCTCTGTTTAAAAGCTTCCAAAGAAGGAGCCTTCACCACACTCCGGGGCAGAGATTTCCACTGCTAAACAGCTCTCACAGTCAGGAGGCTCTTCCTAATGTTCAGATGGAATCTCCTTTCTTGTAGTTTGAAGCCATTATTCCGTGGCCTGGTCTCCAGGGCAGTAGAAAACAAGCTTGCTCCCTCCTCCCTATGACTTCATCTCACATATTTATACATGGCTATAATGTCTCCTCTCAGCCTTCTCTTCTTCAGGCTAAACATGCCCAGCTCTTTAAGCCACTCCTCATAGGGCTTGTTCTCCAGACCCTTGATCATTTTAGTGGCCTCCTCTGGACACATTCCAGCTTGTTAATATCTCTCTTCAATTGTGGTGCCCAGAATAGAGGGGTAGCATGACTTCCCTGGATCTAGACACTATATTCCTATATATGCAGGCCAAAATCCCATTGGCTTTTTTGCTGCCACATCACATTGTTGGCTCATGTTTAACTTGTTGTCCACGAGGACTCCAAGATCTTTTTCACATGTACTGCTCTCGAGCCATTCTGTATCTTTGCATTTCATTTTTTTCTGCCTAAGTGGAATATCTTGTATTTGTCACTGTTGAACTTCATTTGTTAGTTTTGGCCCATCTCTCTAATCTGTTAAGATTGTTTTGAATTCTGGTACTTAATTATATAAAAGAAAATGTGTTTTAAATGCTTTCTTTATAGCAGACCGGTAGACTAGATATCCTTCACGCTCCCCTACTGGTACTTGTAACATGGAATGGTTGCATGGATTCCATAAGTCTGTTACAGTGAAAAGACAGATCCGGGACTTAGGGCTTGTCCACACTGGGCCAAAACCTTGGACTCAGCATGAATGAACCTCTGGTTGTCTTCATGATGCACAGTAGTTTCCACTGAGCATCCCATGTTCTTCAATACTCTGAGTTTTCTCTGCTTTAAGCAGTCAGGGGTAGGATTATACTGTAGTTTGTTGGAAACACCAATGTCCCAGGACTTTGAATCAGCCTGGACAGCTGGACTGAGTTCGATTCAGCTTGATCCGCTATCCAGAGGAACACTGCTGCTATCACACTTTCCCTGCCTGATCACACAGAGCTCTGCTTGAGAGCCTGGCTGCTGTGGGAATCTCTACTGATGTCAGAAAGGGGCCTTCTTTGTGTTGATAATGTGGGTGCTCCATTCTCACATCAGCAAAGGCCCCTGCAGCTCTGGCTAGTTAGGAATGGCAGCGACAAAGATGACAGCCCATTGGTGCAGAAGCGGTCCTGGACCATCTGGACATTGGCTCCAGCTGCTCAGAAGACAGATTTACACCAGGCTAACTTGCCTGGTGTAGACACATTCTTAGATCTACATATTCATTCACTGTTACACATCCAGTCTTAAATTAATTTGATGTCTTATTCAAGTCTTTGGGGTCTAACTGTTTTTATTCAAGCTGCACATGCCTTCGGATTTGCTATCTAAAATTATTTCAAATTATTTCAAACAAATTCAGATTGCCTGACTTTTGATAAACTAAATTGATAAACTATTTAATAGATTTTAATATCTCAATTATTGTTATTAAATTGTGTTTATTGTAAGCTGGCCTGAAAGGAAATTATTTCCAGGTCAAAATGCATATTTAGCAATGACAGAACAAAATTCCAGTTAAACTAATAGAAATTATTTCCAAAAGATGGAGTGTGAGCTGTCAATTGAAAAGTCAATATCAAACTGTAATGTGTTGCTGATTAAGTTATGAATTTTCAGAAAATTTCACAATTGAAATTGTTTCAACTGTTAGTTATATAAGGATTCAAACTATGAGGGCACGTCAAACATTATCTGCACTCTGGCTACAGAATTTATTTTAATTAGCTTTTTAAAAAGACAAATGCATCATTTCTTGACCAAATCTCCCTGCTTTTCAATATACTTTTTCCATTTGCCAACATGTTTTTGTGTTATTAAAAATGTTTTAGGCTGAACTGTGAGCCATGAATGGACTGCTGTCTTCACAATCAGACATTAATTTTCGCCCTCATAGGGCTTCTTTCAGGGGACCAAACAGTCGATAGTCTGATGGGACACAATCAGGACTATTGGGAGGATGTTTTAACATTTCAAAATTTAGTTTTTGGAGAATGTCAACAATATGGGCAGCAGTGTGCAGGCAGGCAGTGGATAGCAGTCCTCCACATTTTGACTGAATTTGAGACTTCAGCTCTTCAGTGATCGTTGTTGTTGTTGTTTATTCATTCAGTCACTTCCGACTCTTCATGACCTCATGGACCAGTCCACGACAGATCTCCCTGTCGGCAATTACCATCCCAGTTCCTTCAAAGTCAAGCCAGTAACTTCAAGGATACCATCCATCCATCTTGCCCTTGGTCTGTGCTTCTTCCCTTTTCCTTCCCTTTTCCCAAGCATCATTGTCTTCTCTAAGCTTTCCTGTCTTCTCATTAGGTGGTCAAAGTTCTTCATCTTTGCCTCTAATATCCTTCCCGCCAGTGAGCAGTTGGGTTTAATTTTCTGGAGTGTGGACTGGTTTGTCTTCTTGCGGTCTAAGGCACTCTCAGAATTTTCCTCCAGCACCACAGTTCAAAAGCATCTGTCTTCCTTCGCTCAGCCTTCCTTATGGTCCAGCTCTCACATCCCTAAGTTACTACGGAAAATACCATTGATTTAACTATGCACATCTTCGTTGCCAGTGTGATGTCTCTACTCTTCACTATTTTATCAAGATTGGTCACTGCTCTTCTCCCAAGAAGTAAACGTCTTCTGATTTCCTGACTGCAGTCTGCATCTGCAGTAATCTTCGCACCTAAAAATACAAAGTCTGTCACTACCTCCACATTTTCTCCCAGTTATCAATCTGTCTGATTGCCATAATCTTGTTTTTTTTATGTTTACCTGCAAACCTGCTTTGCACTGTCTTCTTTCACTTTGTTTAGAAGGCTCCTCAGCTCCTCCTCGCTTTCAGCCATCAAAGTGGTATCATTTGCATATCTAAGGTTGTTAATGTTTCTTCCAGCCATTTTAATTCCAGCCTTGGATTCGTCAAGCCCTACACATGATGTGTTCTGCATACAAGTTGAATAGGTCAGGTGAGAGTACACAGCCCTGCTGTACTCTTTTTCCAATCTTGAATCAGTCTGTTGTTCTTTAGCCTGTTCTTACTGTTGCTACTTGGTAGTTATACAGATTCCTCAGGAGACAGACAAGGTGACTTGGTATCCTCATACCACCAAGAACTTGCCACAATTTATTATGACCCACACAGTCAACAGCTTTAGAATAGTCAATAAAACAGAAATAGATGTGGGTTTTGTTTTTTTGAAACTCCCTGCCTTTCTCCTGATTCATTTAGTTTTCAAGGCAAGAATACTGGGGTGGGTTGCCATTACCTTCCCCAGGGATCGTGCTTGGTCTGACCTCTCTGCCATAACCTTCCTGTCTTGGGTGTCCTGTCACGCTTTCGCTTGTGGCATCATTGAGGTGCTCAAGCTCCAACACCACGACAAGGTAACGATCTGGAGCTTCAGTGATAATCTCACTGTAATTAGCACTGTTAATTGAACCTTCTCTTCTTTCATGTAAATCACAAAGGAAGAGGGCAGCCATTTTTTTCTTTCTCCACAGTCACAAATAAACTGATAACACTTTCAAAACTGCAGAGCTGTGACTGGGAAGATAGCAAGCTCGCATTGAAAGCGCTGGAGTCAACAGAGGTTTTAATATAACCAGAGTGATGATAATTTTTGACTCATCCTCATAATATACTCAAACTCTTTCAAAATAAAAAAAAGCACTCTTCTGTCTCTTTTCTTTCCAATGCACAGTACCTTGCATCCAGCATTCTGTTGTATAGCATGCTGGTACATCCATTGTGTTTCCAGAGGTCCCTGTGATTTTGTTTTGCTGTTTACAACCTGTCAATAAAGAGGAAAATCCTTGAAAAATGCCGGAAAGCATTGATTATTTTTTTAGCATATTTTAAATATTATCTCCAATTCCCACAGTGCTACTGTTCTTCTGAAACATTTACTGAATGACTCGTCTTTCTTTCTTTTTTCAACCTCAATACATTATTATTATTTCTATCCCGCCCATTTCAGCCCGAATGAGACTCATTTGAAAAGTTTCTCTTGAAACTACTGAGGGCCCTTCCTTACAGCCATATAACCCAGAATATCAAGACAGAAAATCCCACAGTATCTGCTTTGAAGTGGGTTATCTGAGTCCACACTGCCATATATTCCAATTCAAAGCAGATAATGTGGGATTTTATTCATCTGAGTTGCCCATCAAACTTTTGCTGCATATGGTACTGCAAGATGGTTGCTTTATTGCCTTTCCTATTTTACTGTTAACTTTAGTAGTTCTATTTCACCTCCTCAACAACACAAAATGTTCAAAGTAACAGTACAATTTCTTTTCTGGGTTTCAGTGGCATTATTATTAGCAGAAAGGTCTAATTAAACACTTCCATTCTCTTTTAATTCTTAATTTCACAATTCTCTATTCCCACCTGCAAGTCCTGGTTAAACATATTCTCCTTTCTTTCCCTTTCTTTTTCTTTTGACTCCCCAGTATTTGGGGGAAATGCTGGAAATATTTAAGAAGGCAATTCTCTCCAAATAACATTTTATTTTATTTTATTGGTTCTCCTAATAGCAAGCCTGTTTCCTTAGATGCTCACCTAGTCTAGACAAGGAAAGAAGAAAGTAGTAGGCTCTCTAAAGCAATCATTATATTTTATGTTTCTTACCTTAGGAGAAATAGTAGGTGATTCCATTGTAAAAATCCACTGGATTCTAGCCACATACTCATGAGACTTTTAAAAACTAAGCACCAGTCCCAAAAGATATTGGCACAAGTTGAAACTGTAAAGCAGCTCAGCAGGTGTTATAAGCACATTGAGTCAGAGCTCCACCTTCTTTGGGAATTTCAGGACCAGAATGAATCCTTGCATACTTACCTTGCACTTCAGTTGCAAAGATAAGGTTAATTGTGTTGCAATAAAGCACTTTCTTAATCCTCCATATGGTGACCATGGAGCATGAATTGCAATGATCCGTATTCCATAGATTCCACAGCAGAGGTTGGTTGTTCCATAGTTATGGGTAAGTTTACCACAAGTTCATCCACTAACAACATTCACTTGTCGCTTATCACAAATATCTCATGATCACAAATGCCATTTAAGTGCTCATTAAATTCATTTATTTATGTATTTATTGCATTTATATACTGTTTTTCCTACCTCTAGGGGGACTCAAAGTGGTTCCCAACATCATCAATGGCAAAATTCTGTGCCTTACATGTACAAAACAGCACATATCAAAACAACAATGACAATTGATTAAAACCATTAAAATTACAATACACAGTACATAAAACCTTTAGGCCTTGCACAATATTTCCATATTTACTTGTTTCTATCATTCACCAAATGCTTTCTTAAATAACCAGGTCTTAAGTTGTTTCCTAAAAGTTAGGAGGGAGGAGGCCAATCTGATCTCCCTGGGGAGGGAGTTCGACAGCCGAGGGGCCACCATTGAGAAGGCACTGTCCCTCGTCCCTGCTAATCACACTAGTGTTCTAGATGGCTCATAGGGAGAGATGTGTTAAATACTTTCAGCATACTGTATAATTTTATACATAACATGCAGATTGTCCATATGACTTACAAATGTGCAAACAGCAGCTTTACAGCCCTTTGGTTAAAAAAAAAGGGAACATGTTTGGGGAGTGTGCAAGACAGCATGGTGTAATGATTTGAGCATTGGATTAAGGACCTCATCACATTTGTGAATTTCAGCATCCTAGGAAGCTTGCAGAATGCTGGGAAGACAGAGACTGCTGGATGCCATCAGACAACACACAGCTACTTCCAGCAGGGCTGCACGCATCCTAGGATGCTGAGAAGCCTCCCGTGTTCTCATAGAGAAAAACAGGGCTAGTGTGGCAATGACGCTGTTTTATGCTGTCTTAATTGTTTTTGCTTTGTTTTTAACTGTATTCTGCCTTGGGCTTGGGCCCCATGTAAGCCGCCCTGAGTCCCTTCGGGGAGATGGAGGCGAGGTAGAAAAATAAAGTTCTTCTTCTTCCTCCTCCTCCTGTGGGATAGGTAAGTGGACAATGTGGGCAACACGGGGTGATGCGCTGTCCTGCTTCCCCCTGGATTTGCTACAATGCATGGTGAATCCCCCTGGTATTGCCTGTAAATTGGACCTTAATGTGAAGAGGTCCTAAAACTCTGGAGAGTAGAGTTTAAATCCTCACTTGACTGTGGGACCCACTGTGGGTCTTTGGACAATCATATTCTCTTAGTTTCAGATGAAGCCAAAACCAAACCTTTTGAATAAAACTTTACAAGAAAAGCCTATGAGGGTTGACTTAGAGTCACCATAGGTTGAAAATTATTTGAAGACACATAACAAAATTAAGAGTGAATAGATACATCATTCCTTCCCTACTCTCAGTATTCCTGCATCTGTGTATAGCTAGGTAATTTTTTTCCTATGTGCTTCTGACCACCTCTTAACTTAATAGATTTAGTGGTGAGAAAATTGCAGTGATGGTGGTTAGTTGTTCCTTGTCATCTCAGTTGATCTTAAAGAGTCTTTCTTTTTAATTTCCTTTAATTGTTGACTAGTGTTTACATGTTTATTTTCTCACCCTCCACCCCAATTGCTCCCAAGTGTTTTTGTCAGATGGAAGACATGCTCTCTAAACCATCACAGGAAAGGAAGAGCACTGTCTGGGACCAGTGCCAGGAGAAATGAGGCCCTGTGCCAGTTAAATTGTGATTCCCCTTACTTGGGCCCTTTTATTTAGCCCAGAAACAGACCAGCAGCCAGGGGAGCTCTTGCAACATGGGAGTGATTCTCTTCCTGTACAGCATTCCAATTAGTAATCTGGCTGCCGATCTCTGGACCTGTTGAAGCTTCCGAACTATCTTCAAAGGCAGCCCCACATAGCCAGTGTTGAGAAAGATGCAACTAAGGAATGGACTACCATGGCCAGATCTGTTGTTTCAAGGTACAGGCACAGCTGTCGATACCTGAGATTACAGTGTCAGCGATGAATCCAGGATAACCCACAAGCTGCAAACCTTTGTCTTCAGGGGGCGTGTAACCCTGTCCAACGCAGGCAATATCCTTATACCTGATCTGACTTCTGACTGACCAGGAGTACCTCTGTTTTGTCTGAATTTAATCTCAACTTATTATCCAGTCCATTGCTGATGATAGGCACTGGTTCAGGACCAGGATGGCATCCTTGGCATTAGGTGGAAAGGAATAATAGAGTTGGATGATGTCTGCATATATTTGACACCAAATTCCAAAACCCCAGATCATCTCACCCAGCGGTTTCATGTAGATATTAAACAACATGGGGAATAGAATAGAGCCCTGAGGGACCCCACAGGCCGGGGGGGGGGGGTAAACAAGAGTCCCCCAGCACCACCTTCTGGGTCTGACCCTCTAAGAAGGACCAGAGCCACTGTAAAACAGTCCCTCTTGGCCCCATCCCTATGGTCAATGGTATTGACATGGCTGAGAGGTCCAGGAGAAGCAAAATGGTTACAATCTGACCACTCAAAATAGTTGGCGGTTCTTTGCAGATGCAATGTTGGCAACAGTGAACAATTTTTGTGCCGCCTTCATTGCCAAGGAGTAGAATCTTAAATAAGCTTTAGCCCATGCTCAATCAGATTCGCTACAAGTTCTCCCCAATGCTGCTCTACTCTCAGTTTCACTTGCTTCATCACCACCAGCTCCCTGGAATACCAGTGGGCTGATTTGACTCTGCCTTGTGAAAGGAGACATTTAGGAGTGAATGTGTCAACTGCCCTAGCAACTTCTGCATTCTAGTGGTCTGCTAAAACTTCAACAGAATCACTTACCAAAATGGCAGGAAACTCCCCAAGAGCTGTCAGGAATCCATAAGTCTCCTGGTGCAGACCATCGTAGCTGGTCCTCCACTCCTGTAGAGGTTTAGAGCTTGACCAGGTAGTGATTGGCCCATGACAAAAAAAAACCATGGGTGTTTGTTAGGCAATGAATACCCAGAGGTGGTTGTACCAGTTGCTCCACAATACCATCACCATAATTCCATCCTGAACAGGAGATCAGGTCTAAAGTGTGTCCAGCACTATGGATGGGGCCAGCAATCATTTTGGACAGACCCATGGTTGTCTTGGTGGCCATGAATTCCTGAACTGATCCCAACATGGCAATCTCAGCAAGGGTGTTAAAGACCCCCAGTACAATGAGCCATTGGGACTCCAACACGAGGCCTGAGACCATCCCTGCTAGCTCAGGCTGGTAGACTGTTAAGCAGCAGTGTGGTCCCTGTCACTCACCCTTTCAAATGTGATCTGCTGTGGGAGAGGTGGGTCAGGTGGATGGAATCCCAATAGACCACTGCGACTCCTCCTCCCCTCTCCCTGGATCTTGCCTGCTACTGCACACAGAAACCTGGCAGATGAAATTAGGAGAGATTTACTCCCCCCCCCCCGCTCCTTCATCCAACCAGGTCTCTATGATGAAGACCAGGTTGGTGTGCTCATCCAAGATTAGATCTTGGATGGCCATTTCTTTTCCATGCACCGACCTGGGATTAAGCAGCCGGACCTTCAAGACGTACTATTATTTATTATTTATTTATTTCGAACATTTGTATCCCATCCTTCTCAACCCCCGAGGGGGGACTCAGGGTGGCTTACAATTGGCAATCATTAGATGCCAACAAACAAACAATTAACATTAAAAAGAGAAGATTATAAAATACATTAAAATATTGCCCATTAAAATATTGAAATGCAACCAAGCTTAAGTCCACAAATTCAAATCATAGTCCAGAGTTCCTGTCCAAGATCTATTCATTGATCATTCTAATGAGTCATTGCAGTTGCTGCTCGTTCAGCTGCCCAAATGCTCGGTCCCAAAACCAAGATTTAAGCTTTTTTCTAAAGGAGAGGAGAGAGCTCTTGCTTAGGTCTTCTATATGAGCTTTCAGGTTGTCTATTCAATTTATGGTGATCTTAATAATTCCATAGGTGTTTGTTAGGCAACGAATACCCAGAGGTGGTTGTACCAGTTCCTTCCTCTGAAATATAGCATACAGCACCTAATATTCATTGGCATTCTCCCATCCAAATACTAAACAGGGCTAAGTCTTCTTTGCTTCCAAGAGATAAAGAATTGTATGCCTTTAGGATATGTAGGACAGAGGCATTAAAATTCCAGGTGGCAGGGTAAGACATTTATGCCAGGAACAGATAATGTTGAGTCCTCTGTCCAAATTGGATTTGATAGCTTGTCTACATTAGTACTGTAACCCAGTGTTTACCAAGAGTCAATCCTAGATATCCAGACAATGTCCAGTGATTTCCAGTTAGTAATGGATTGCTAGCAGGGATGGAGTTCTTTCTCTCTTTTGTTCTCAGTTTTTCAGTAAGCCGTTGAAAGAGTTACACTTTTTGATACAGTTTCCAGAACACACTAGCTAATAAATTATGGATTTATATAATGTTTTCAAGCAATAAAAAGGGTTCCTATGATTAACTATGGCATGTGTTTGTGGCAGCATATTGGCACATTCACCTTTTGACATTACACTCCATTGCAGGTTAGTGGGAGTCTCATTCTCCAAATGAATCTTGCTTCCTATGCCAATTCCTAAATATTCCTCCACCTATCCCAGCCCTAAATAAGTAAAATATAAAGAAAAGCTTGTGTTTGGACTTACTTTCCCAAAGCTCCTGCCCCAACCCTTAGAATAACCATATGCATTATCCAAATACCACTAGAGGCATTGGTAATTGAAAAGTCTTACAGATGAGGAAGGTTTCGTTATAAATTCTGTTTTAAAACAATGCAGCCCAAATCCCGT